TCTCTCTCTCTCTCTCTCTCTCTCTCTCTCTCTTCCCAGAACATCAAGACGAGTCACCTGGGGCGGAATAAGAAGGGACACGTCCAAAGTCCCTGGGGTGCCGCGTACGGCCGTGCAGAGGGCAAGGCAGGAAGAGAAAGTACGACGAAGTTGTAGACGCAGCCAGCCACCAAGTGACCACGAGCAGTGTAGATAAGTTGGATACCAGGGGGAAGGGGGATTCCGTAAGGATGTGCCTGTAGCCGTTTGCGACCGGGTACACTGGAAAATCAAAGGAGCTCCTGAACACCTTTTCAGGGGTGATACACGTTGTTTTAGTGTTTGTGGGAAGGAACTTAATTTAGAGTGCGGAACAACATACTACAATCTTCAAATTTCCAGAGTCAACCAAATTTCTCACAACAGTTCTAGCGTTTTGAGAGTTTTACAGTGTAACTGCATAATGTAAGGTAGAACGACATGTTGAGGCGATGATCTGACACTTTAGTTCCATTGTTCATATCTCTTTCTTTCATAAACCTGTAGTAAAGGGTTCGCTGCAAAAATATCGAGAGAAGGAAAAGAGGGGGGCGCATCGACTGCATAACACAGCCTTGTTCGCCTGTTTGTTATTTCAGCTGGCGGCAGCCTGCCGGGTAGGACTCCGAGAGAGAGAGAGAGAGAGAGAGAGAGAGAGAGAGAGCGTATGAGCGGGGTGAGAGTAGGCTGTCGTGTTGATGGGGCGGTGGGGTTGGTCGGTTGAGGACCTTCCCATCCCCGTCCTCTCTCGCGGTGAGTGCGCCCGGGCGCACCCCGACGCTCCCCCCTCCAATGCCTCGCTCTCGGCGCCGACAAGCGCGCGCGCGCGCACCGTATGTCCACACAGGAAGACGCCACACAAAGACTTCATTTCGGCTGGTCAGGCTCGCAGCAGCAGGTATTGAGCGGCAGGGCCGAACCAAACACGGTGATTACCCCTGGGAATGGACCACCGGCTACGGACTGGGGGTAGCGGATGTGGGAGGGAGGGGGGAAGGGGGCGCTCAAACCCCTGGTGCTTGCCGCTCTGGTCCTGAGGGAATGGAGAGGGGGGCCTGCGGGGGCTGCAACATAGGAGCCGGCGTGCACTCAGAGCGCTTGTCCGTAAAAGGGTCAGTGCATGGAGGAGGAAGTAGCAGCGGGCCTGAGAGGAAAGCAAAAGAAAACAAGGCAAGGCGCAAAGCCTACGTCTTAAAAGCTTACTCCGCAGGTGATAGTGTAACACACAAAAACAGAGAACGCTATTTAATGCATATTTTCACATTCAAAGTAACCGACTTGTTGTTTGGAACAATGAGCGTTATTCCAAATTGCCATGGATTTTCTTTTCTGCTACTAATTTCTGGAATTATGCGTGCTTGCTCCAAGCCTGTTATTGAGGGCGGTCAGGTATAACAGAGTTGAAGAAAAGGCCATGTGTTTTAATTGTTACCACTAACTGTAAATAGCAAAGAATAGGTTCGTATTGAAAACGATTTTCTTTGCAGCTTGCAAAGAATTTTGGAGCACCGCTATTTATTGAAGTACGAACACAAACTGTTAAAAGTATTTCTAGAAAATCAAGCATTTTTGAAATGATACAGCTGTTAATAATAAACAACAGATGTTGGTTTCATTTTGACCCCTAGTGAAACTTGTGCTATTCGGGTTCACAACGAAATCTACTTGGTATTACTTTGCTATAAATGTACAGAGAAAAAAGTGTGGTTAATTTTGGTAGCAACACATTCCGTTCATAAACAACACACATTATATAGTTGGCAAGCGATTTGCAGTGAACGGGCACGCGTAAGCTAAAGTCCTCATCTGCGCAGAGATTAGTGCAAATAAAGTCCCCCCCGGTCATTTAGAGCGGAGCTGCCCCCTCCCACCACGGCGCGACGGCGAAACAAGTGCCGGCTGGTGCTGTTGGGTGTTTGCCCCCGCAGATTGTGTCGGGGCCCCGGCCGAGGCCCGGGCGCTGACACTCCTGACCCCTCCAGGCGAACCCTTTCATCTTCGGCTCCGCGCCGGCGCGCCGCCGCCGCCCCCGGAGCACGAGGCGAGCCCTCCGCGAATTCCTATTGTGCGGCATGTCGTGTTGTTTCGTAAATTGAGTGCCTCGTGGGGGTGAGGGACGGGGGTTGGGTGGGGGCTGGGAGAGGGGACTCCCACGAGCCCCCCGCCGTCCCATCCCAGCCGCCGGGGCCAGGCCTCTGTCAGTCCCAACCTAACCCCGTTTTGAGGGTCGACGGCGAGAGTAGAATTTCAATGTAGTAGGTTAAGGGGTAAGGAGGCAGGGAGGGGGAAGAGGGCACCCTATTGAACCACATCTGCCTATATAAAACACAACATCGCGCACCTTCTTCCCCGCACGGCCGTCGCAGAAGCTACCCGCTCCACCACGCTACGCAGGAAGAAACATACATCAAAAATATATATCCAAGCGATCGAGAGGGTAATACATTGCTGGCCCTATGTGCATAGCGGCGAGCACGACCAGCGAAAAACATGCGAAGCGAGCACCGGATAATCGCACAGCCACAGCGCTGCAAACAGGGATTACACTGAAAATAACTTTAAGTGACTTTCTATTTAACAAACATATTTTCAATAACAGTTGTTCCGAACGAGTTTCAGTAAGTTTTTCAATATACTGTAGCTAAGTAACAAATACAGAAAATATTTATATGATAAAATTATTCTGACTTCTGGATGTAACAAAAGTTAAACATCACTACCTGACGTAGAAAATCATATTCAACCATACGTTTACTTTTCTATGTGCAATTTACGTATGCTAAGTGAAAGTTGTTGCGTATGGCTGTTATTGTAATTCTTGTAACTCAAAGAAGTTCACATAATTTTTTATGTACAGTCATTGTTCCTAAATTCGGACTTGCGCCCTAAATTCGGACATTGTGCCGTATTTCACTATTGTCGCCTCCAAATCCATTATGCGTTGACAAAATTTAACTTCTATGGGTTTGATGGAAAGGTAAGACCACCAAGTTTCCATTTCTGCCAAAAAAATAAATG